TTTGTTCCCAAGGACGAGAATTGCATGAAAGTGCACAGACCGAAGACATGCTAATTGATGGAAGTGAAGTGAGCGAACTTCGACTACCCCTATATGCTTGAGGAAGAAGCCGGGATAGAGTAGTCGGTATATAGACTGGCTATGGGCTGGATGGCGGAGAGGTCAGAGTTGGAGCCCCGGTAGGGTCAAGAATTTTCTCTTCTCCAACTTGTCCAGACCGAATCTTGGGTCAACCCAACCTCCTATGCAAGTTGTACCGGACACTTTCCTCGGGGGTAAAACGGCTGGGACGTGGAGCTGAACACTCACCTCCAGCTAATGCCACACCCGCATACGCCTTCATGGCTTAGTGCTTAATTCGTTAAACACAGGGACGACTTTCCCTTTTCCATACCTGATGAGAATTTGATGTTAGGAAGGAATATTATCATCTGTTCTCGGGAGGTGTCCAGTACGAATCTTTGTAGTTGTTGACGTTTTCCATCGCCGTTCTCATCAACAGAGGCGTGTTACTATGATTGCATGATATACATTTTCCTCCTCTGTTCCCATATGCCAACAACAGCTGATCCAGTTGACCTACTGACCCCTCTATTAGCTATTACCCGCAGCTTGTACGTCTAATTGAGACCACTCATAAAGTTGAAGGGAATAGAACGGTTTCCCTCTAGGCGGAAGAATCAGCCCTTTTATTTACAAGAATTCTAATTCGGATATTTCAATTGGTGTCTCGTTAANCTTCCAGATTTTTTTCGGTCATTTTATAGGTAATTTTTTTTAATATTTTCAGGTCATCAAAATCCGGGCCCTGCTAATAAGAAATGAAGTTCGGTTTACACAATATCACAAATAGAATTTTCTATGCATCCGATCAGTCATTCGACATGCTTTGTTGAAATTCTGTATGGGAACTTTAATTAATTTGCATTTAATTATTCCTGTTGTAAACTAAACTTAATAAACTTCAAAGAACGCAGTTGTTAATTCTGCACACTGGACTCTAAAGTATACCCTTTGCAATCTTGTTATATNGGCTTACACCAATTGGTAAGGACTGCAAGGTACCGGGGTTCATTACCTGGCAGGAACATTAGAATTTTTCTCTTTGTCATAAGGTGGAAATGGTTATAATGTCCATAGAGACTCCTTCTCTTCATGCAGTTCTAAAGGTCTCTTACTATTGCCTTCAGTATTAACATACCGGGATGAACTTCATCATCATTACGTATTATCATCGTACGAAGAGAAATTTCTTCAGATTCTGGGCGGACTGGTATCCGAAGTTCGCAGGCCAAAATCGTGGTATCCTTACTGAAAGTTTTCATGATTTCCTTTATCATCTCCAGCAGACAGAAGCCATGATGTTCTCCTTTCATATACTTACCTACACACAATTCACGATGTTTCCATCTCAGTGCGAGCTGTAGTTGTAACCTCTGCATTTTAAATGATTTTTAAATACCCTAGAAACAATCTGCCTTTTAGGATAGGTATGAGCTATCTGGGATCCACCCAGCCCCCTATCCAGTGGGTGCCAGGGCTCTTTCCCCGAAGCTTGAAGCTGACCACTCACCAATTAGTGCCGTTAATTTCTGTATTCTAGAACGGAGCCACTATTTCCTTGAAATAGCTCCTCAGTTATCCTCACGAGGCTGAGTGGACCCCATTTCAGACTCATTCAGAAAATCTGTTAGCGTCGGGAATCGAACCAGGAACTCTGACCACTAGAACACAAAGGCGGTCTTTTTGTTGCGAACAAGAAATATAAATACTGTATATTCCCAAAACGTACTCGAACCTTTTCCGAAGATGAATCGCCACATTAAATCGGTGGTCTTGGTAGTCTCATCGTATCCGTGTTGGTACTGTTCTTGGCATGAGTTTAGAAAGTACGAAAATATTCATATTCAATATCATTAATATCTATTTATGTGAGGGAACTCACGTGTGTAACAAGCGTTAGTATCCACGTAAATTATTTAATACACGATAAAAAAGCAAATATAAAAAACAAAGTTTATTTTTGCGAATATATTTTGTTACAAACAGTAATTTACACACTGAAGAGATCAACATACACGTAAGCAAGAAAATATTGATAAATTATTACGTTTATTTGTAATATGTATCCTTTACGAGCAACTTGCAGAAAGGCATAAATTACATGAAATTAAAACAACCGTTATTTAATATATGTCTTAGCACTTCAATTTTCACGATTAAAGTGAAATTCTTATAGTAAATTCGATTTCGTAAGCTCTGAAAACTCTTCATGATCTGAATTCTTCGGTTAAAATTCGATTCATCAATATTTTTGCTAGTTCCGGTATTAATAACAGTAAGAAATTACTCTTAGAAGAGACGAACCACAGCGTGCCCTGTTGTTCGGTAGTAGAATAGAGCAAAATTATTTTGTATACTACAGGAAGAGGTCTACTGATTGTTTAACGATGGAATGGGAGAATCGGCCAAGATTTATAATATTTATTGAGCAAAATGCGATATTTCTTGAAAGATTTCATTTTCCTTGCTGCTTCTCGAACTTTTTATGACGATTTTTATGCCTTCAGAATTTGTAGGATACGTTTTCAAATATTTTCAGTTTGAATGTACAAACTTGTCTTTGGTATAATTGTCAGTAAAAAAAGTAAAAAGTAAAACTATCCCTGTACAAGGCCCTGAAGGCCCATAGTGTTGTGAGACGTTGAGGGTCCCACATTATCTAGACAATCGGCTCAAAGATGGCGGTAAGGTTGTCAGCCTTACGCGCCGGCCGCGCTTTACTCCCCAGGGAAATTATTTAATGAATTCCTTGTACTCATTTCTGTTAGAGGCTGAGTCGACCCCAGGGCCATAATGCGACTGGAAGGAATAGGTCAACTGAAAAAATCTAATGACCTTATCGGGATTTGAACCACCTTCCGACTTGTAGCATTGCCTCAAGTAGACATGTATATAGAACTGTATAACTTCTCACTCTCTACATTTCCTTGGTTACATTACGTAGAAAGGTAAAGTTGTCCCTGTGCTTAACTAATTAAGCACTATGCGATGAAGGCGTGTGGGGAGTTAATGTACAGATCCACATTTTCTTGACCTCGACACTAGTTGGAGGTGATTGGTCAGCTTCACGGCAAGGCCGCTTTACCGCCGGAAAAGAGTCCCCGGCACCAATTGTATAGGAGGTTGGGTGGACCCCAGAGTCGGTCTGGACGGATAGAGAAGTTGAAAATTTTTTACCCTACTGGGACTCCAACTCCGACCCCTCGATCGTACAGCCCATAGCCGGTCGCTATGCTGACTACACTACATTTCGTATATAATTAATATGTATTCTTCTTAGAATGTACTCAACCAACCAACTAACTCGCTCGCTCGCTCGCTCGCTCGCTCGCTCACTCACTCACTCACGTAGTCGGATTACTAATGTCGACACTGTGTATTTGGCTTATTTCCAATTTCACGTAAATTGCTGCTTCTCTCACCTGATCTGCTCTTTAATAAGACAGTTATGTTATTCTTACGAGCTTGCCATTTCTCCTGCTGGATTGATCTCAGCAGACTGCCCAGCCTGTTCTCAGTCTTACGAATACACTAGCCGCCATGGTGTAGCGTAGTGATCGCTTTTGTGTATTAGATGGTTGCCAAACAACGAAATAGCGGCGAACGCGGTTCGTATTGTGTCGTAAGGATTATGGTAACCTACAGACCTCACAGAGAGGAAGAAACGGAGAAGACTAGACACTAAAGGAGTATATGTTATAGATTATGTGATGAGAGCACGAGTTTGTGACCTTGAAATTTCCATTATGCACTCAGATATGTGAATTTCGAAGAGCGGTTTTTTTTAAAGAAAGCAGCCCGATTAAATATAAAGGAGGAAAGGAATAGTTACTTTCACTTTCGAGCTGTATATCCCCGAGGAATGGAACTTAGTGTTTACTCAGACAAAGACTGGACGCTTTCAGAGAGGCCTGGATGTGGTGATGTACAGAGCAAGCATATCTGTCGGGTATCATTTCCGTAGTAAGTTTGCTGTGTGCCTAGACATGCTTATGGTAGCAAGCATCATGGCTAGTATTTAAGTGTTCTTACTTTCCAGTGCGGTATAAAATAAAGAAAGGGTAGTAAATTAAGAATTTTGAAGCTCACCACAGAGTTTATCCATACATAACTTTCAATTACAAACTGCAATGGATTTATCTCCACGTCTGCGTTATATATCCAGGCAAACTGAACAAAAAATTTTGTAAGGATGTATGCTAGTGAGTCAGTTGTACTTTGAGCAAGTCCCGAATTGTGTATTGAACAACTGGGATTCTTTACGTTTCTAGCCTGAATAAATACATAATTAGGATTACATAATTTCATAGAAATATGACATTTAGCAACAACAGTACTGATCGCCTCCCATCATATGCACGACTAAGCGAAGCAAAAGTGGCCGCGCCATAGCTCAAGCGGTTAGTCGCTGCCTTCCCATCACGGCGGCCCCGGTTCGATCCCGGGTCTGGTCAAGTGGGATTTGTGGTGGACAAAGTGGCGCTGGGGCAGGTTTCCTCAGAGTACTTCGGTTTCCCCTGCCAATCTTCATTCCACCAATTGCTCCACAATCACCCTCACCTATCATCTGGGGCTGGTACAATAGGCCAGAAGTGGCCGCAGTACAAGGGACTTAGTCTCACCCCACTAGCAATAAAAAAACACCATAAAATAGGTCTTTGCTTTCTGTCTACTTTGCTGATTTCTTGCTGGGGCTTATTCTTCAACTCTGAAAAAAAAGGAGCATGCCCCTCCAAAACGTTGGTTGACTTTCAATGGACTTCACGGCGTTATATCCCAGAGGATATAACTCTTCATAATCACCACTGTGAGGACCTCAGTTCATACGTTTATTGGCTTTCAC